GGGGCGTCTTTCCCTCGCGAGTTCTCCAGCTGTGCCCGGGCTCCGCAGAGTCAGGGCCGGAGGTGCCGGTGCTGGTGATGGTGATGGCACAGGGACGTGGCCGCTCCTCACCCGCCTCCACGTGACGCCGTCAGCATTTCCAATTCCGCCTTCCCCGGGGTTTGGGATTTTAAAACACCCATGTGCCTGATGAGCGTCGTCTTCTTTCATGATTCTTTGTTTCTGTCCTTTGCCTGCTCTTCTGTTGGATTATCTCTTGTCATTGCTGAACTGGGTGGGGGTTTGCCTCGCGGAGCCTGGTCTTCGGCCGCGCAGTGAAGGCCGGATGGTCCACGGCGAGGGGCAGTGGCTGCGCGTGGGAGGCTTTCATACACTGAGCAGCTCAGAATGGCGCTGGCTGGTAGGGGTCGGGGTTCGAGAAGAGGACTCAGAGATGATCGTTAGTGGAGTGGGGGGTCCGGTGGCCTTGCTCTATGAGTGGAGGAGGGGGTGGCGCTGGGGACCAGAGAAGCCACGGGCGGAGTCAGCAAACGCTTCAGCGCTTCACTCCGACCCTCCCGCTGAGTCTCTGTGAGGAGTGACAGACAGGGTTCAAGGCTAAAGCACAAAAGTGGGGACATCGCCCCCAAGTTCCCCTCGAGGTTGAAGACTTTGATCTGACTCCCAGGTTCCTGGCAGGTCTCTGTAGCACGCGTCCAGGTTTGTCTGTTGACACGGCATGACGGCCCCAGGCCTGCCCACTCCGATTGTTGCTGAAAGCCAGTGATCTCTCCTGTGTTTGTAAACCAGCGTCTCGTCTATTACTCGGTGCGGCGTGGAGGCTCCTAAATGGCTGCTGCGTGGCGACGGGTCCCGGCTGCCAGGCGGTGGGTCCGGCTGAGATGCTGCGCTCTTGGCGGGCAGCGGGCAGTGCACTTCACACCCGGACCTGCTGCCTCCTGGTCACTTGAGTGTCTCCCCCGCGTGCCCGGAGGGTGCAGCAGTGAGGGAGCAGGGGCGGATGCGGGCGGGGCCCGGTGGTGGCTGCCGACATGGTGCCACCCTGACTGTATGGGCCTCCGGTTCGAGGTGCCCACGGCGGCTGCGACTCATCTCCAGTGCAGCGAGCTTCCTCAAGGCACGGGACAGCGTCCAGGGACCAGAACGAGCTGCAGATGGTGTCCTCCTGGGCTCGGGGACTTGGGGTGACACAGCCCCCCTTTAACCATCAGAAGCTCTGAAAGAGGCCCGAGGGGACAGGTTCCCCCTGGGACTGCGGAGACTGCAGGGGGGACCGCGCGCTCGGTTCCAAGGGTGGCCTTTCAGGTTCTTTAGAAGTTAGCTCTGCCCCCTCGTCAGCTGCGTCTCCCCTGCTAAACTGGCCTTCCGCGTGTGCGGCGGGTCCCCAGTGTGCAATGGGTCCCCACTCGGCATGGGCGGCAGGTCCTCGCTCACGTGGGTGGTGGGTCCTCACTATACCGGTGTGATGGGTCCTGCTACACAGGCCCCTTCTCTCTAAGCCACGGAGCCTCTCACACAGCAGCGTGTCAGCCTTTGGGTCCATCCGACAGCAGAGCCAGTCGCAGCCGCGCATGGGCCGCTGGAACCCTGGCCTTGGAGGAGATGGAGGGGCGAGCATAGATGTGGCCGCCTCTGCGTGACCCGGCTCTGTTCCCTCTCGCCCCTGCTGCTGTTGGTGAGGGTCACCTGGGCTCTCAGAGCGGGTGGGGCTGGGTTTGCTGAGCTGCTGGCTTCTCCTGCCGCATGTTTGGGGGTTCCCTCCGTTTCATTTGAGGGGCAGTCGAAGGCCTTTCAGCAACGGCTATCACTTAGGGTCTCTCAGTCTGTTTTCTTGCGAAGCCTGGGCCCACAGTGAGCTGTGCACGTCTAGTCGCACGGGGACCTCGGCCACGGGTCCCTGGAGTGGTCAGCACAGCGAGCGAGCAGGACTGGCCCTGACCCGAGGGGCCTGTCACCTCTTAGCAAGTCCGAGAAGCCGGGGTGAAGGCGAAGGGCCTGCTGCTGGGAGTGCGCAGAGGCCTGGCTGGTTCCTGGGCAGCAGGGCTGCTCGCGTGTTCTTGACTTGAGACCTGAGAGATCAAGTCTGTGTTTGCCTCAGGAGGATGGGGGAGAGGGGGTGCTTTGCAAATGGTTTGGATGAAGAGGAGGCTGTGAGGCACTTTTTTTTTTAATTTTTAAATGTTTTTATTGATTTTAGAGACGGAGGAAGGGAGAGGGTGAGAGAGAGAAACATCAATGAGAGAATCATTGACTGGCTGCCTCCTGCACGCCCCCCGCTGGGGATGGAGCCTGCGACCTCTCCTCTCCCAGCATGCGCGACGCCCCACCCGCTGAGCAGCGCCGGCTGTGAGGCTCCTGTGTAAGCAGCTGAGCCGGCACAGGTCCCGGCTGGATGAGGGGTGAGGGGGGGTCAGGCCTTTCTCAGGCTGTGGGTGATCATTTAAGGGTCTGACCTGCAGCAGGTCGGCCGCGGGGACCCCGAGAAGGGTCGTCAGAAGGGCAGTTGCTCTGTCTGCGGGAAACGTCGCTCTGGCCGCAGCGTGGAGGGTGCATTTCAAGTTACACTTGCGATGATGCTCAGGTCAGAGCGAGAAGAGGAAGGCGCGTGGTGGGCTGTTGCCGTGGTCCAGGCATGAGGTGATGCGAGAAGCGAGGTTGCCCGGCTTCACGCGCATTTCAGCCATGACTGTCCCTGTGCAGTGGGGTCCTGCTGCGGCCCATGTCTGGATCGTGGGGGACTTACTTCGGCGGCCAGTTCAGACGCAAGGCCTAGTGCAGCTACACATCAGCGCCTTCCACGGATTGGCTGGGACAGATGTAATTATCTTAAAGGACATAAAGTGTTGACATGTGAAGGGAATGTCTTGTAAGTCCAGCTTAAGTTATAAGCAGCCTAGGAGACTGATAAAGATAGATCATAAACAGATGCCTAGTTTATGCCAACTTCTTTCTCTAGGCCAGTGCTGCCTAGTAGGAATATAATGAGCCACAAATACAAGTCATACATGTAGCGTTACATTTATTTTCTAGTAGCCACATTAAAAGATAAAAAGACCAAACAGGTGAAATTAATGTTAATAATACACTTTAACTCAGTATATACAAAACATTATCATTGCAAAATATAATATAAAAATTGAGTTATTTAATTTTCCTATTATCCATAGAAACATTCATTATATATAGCACCCTTTTTTTATACTAAATATTTAAAGTCCTGAGTCTCTTGATACTTTTACCACGTATCCATTCAGGCTAACCACACCTCAAGTTCTCCTGCAAACACATGTGGCTACTGGCTACTGTACTCAACAGACACATGTGGCTGCTGGTTACTGTACTCAACATATGCAGGTAGCTGCTGCCTACTGTACTCAACAGACACAGGTGGCTACTGGCTACTCTACTCAATAGACATGTGGCTACTGTACTTAACAGACATGTAGCTACTGGCTACTCAACAGACACAGGTGGCTACTGGTTGCTGTACTGGCCAGTGATGGCTTTTAAATTCTATTCCAAAGATACATGAAACATTTGAGCAGTACTTTCAAGAGTGCAACCCCAGTTTTTCTCATTAGAAAAGTAATAAATCACTTGTGGTATGACTTTAAAACCCGAGTACATTAAGTAGGCATATTGAATCTTTATAATAGTAATATCAGTACACGGAAAGTGGGAGCTAAGTGAGAATTATCTAAACATCTGATTCTTGTCCACTATTGCTTTTTACAGTCTCAGGATGTGAAATGGCCCTAAAGGTTGCTTCCATTTTGAAGTGGAGCCCAGCAGGTGGTATTCTGTAGGTGCACTGTTCGAATGTTTGGCAGCGTCTAGCTCCCAGGAATAATATTCTGTAGGTGCACCATGTGAAAGGCCTCTGGGTGTTAAAGATGGAGATGAATTAAGGTTGGCAATGGAGACCCTCAGGGAGGCACAGGAAATGGTGTTACGGGTCTGTGGTAGGTGGCTGATAGCTACAGCATCTCTGTAGCATTGCCTAGTGTTCAGCTGGGCAGTTAAATTGCTTTCCACTCTGCGGGGTGGTCAGGGCCCTATATAGCCTGTTCGAATGTTTGGCAGCGTCTAGCTCCCAGGAATAGACGGGAGCGAGTGGGAGGGTCTGCTGTGCAGGCAGGCAGTCACTGAGAAGGCCAGCTTCTCTAAGTCCACACCTGAGGACAGGTCTGGTACCCAGTGGATCACTTTCATGTTCCGGGAAGAAGTGAAGCTGAGAGCTGCTCAATGTCATTTCCCCTTCCACAGCCTAGCACGTGGTGCCCATGGAGCCGGAGCCGGAGTTTGGTGGATAAAAGGACGGAGGGATTATGGGATGCAGCCTGGGGAGAGGGAGGTCAGGGTCAAGGGACTGAGGTCCCGTGGGGTGGAAGGATGGCTTTCGCGTCCCACAGCGGTGGGGGCAGAGCAATGGAAGGAAAAGGGGGGACTTAGGGGGCGGGCGACGTGGGACACGGGCTCGCAGTAGCTCTAGGGGCCGTCACTCGGGCGAGGACCGCCTTTCAGCATCTGACGCGCTGACTAGCGCCCGCCTCTCAGGTACGGGAACAGCTCTCGGAGCTACGCTGTCCGGGTCGGGGATTACCACACGCTGGTGCCCGAGGAGTTTGAAGAAGAAATCGGAGTCCAACAGATTGTCATCCACGGGGCGTACCGGCCGGACAGCAGTGACCACGACATCGCCCTGGTCAGGCTGCAGGGGCCGGACAGGCAGTGCGCCAGGCTCAGCAGCCACGTTCTGCCCGCCTGCCTGCCGCTCTGGAGAGAGAGGCCACAGCGGACAGCCGCCGGCTGCCACATCACAGGCTGGGGAGACACAGGTAACGGAAGTGACAGGTCGGGAGGTGGGCCGGGTCACCGGGCCGTGGCTGCTCGTGCGGTCGGTTGTAGAATCTTAGCGGATTCCGGCGAGTTGTTAGGAAGTCCTGCTGGGTGAGGTCATGCACTTGGGTTCCCATCCTGGGTGTGGAACTAAAGCCCGTCATACATGGGATACGGCTTCTGTGTAGGAGTTACTGTCCCCTCCCGTGCTGACGGGTAATTGTCACTTGTAACCAGTCCTCACGTCAGTGCAGCAGATGGGCCTTAGAGTGGACGTGCTCACCAAACCAGCCCGGGCGGCCCTCACCTTCTATGCGCAGTTCAGACGCCAACGCCTGCACACCTGCTTTCGGGGGCTCTGTCTGTATCGAGGCCACAGAGTTGCTAGTTTGTCTTCCAGACTTGGTGCTGAGAAGCTGGTTAGTGGAGGGTAAGAAGGTGCCGAGTGGCAGCATGACAAAGGCAGATGGTGGCCTGTGTGCCCTTTAAACTGCACTCGCGTCACAGGAGGGCTTTTACTTGAAAGATGTTCATGTTCCTGAAACTGCCCAGGGCAGCTCCTTCCGCAGGACGGTAGCTGGAAGCTAACCCGCCGTCTGGTTTGCAGGGCGAGCCTACGCCAGGACCCTGCAGCAGGCCGCCGTGCCCTTGCTGCCCCGGAGGCGGTGCGC